CCCCCCCAACCCCCCCCGGCCCCTCTGGGCCCCCCAGGGGCCGTGGGTGCCCCCTGACCCCTGTGCCCCACAGGGGCCCCCCCCTGGAGATGAAGACGCCGGTGTCCCCCCCCCAGGCCGAGTGTAACCCCGTGGGGGCTCTGCAGGTGGGTGGCACCAGGGAGGGACAGCGGGACACCAGCGCCTGCCCCGCTCTGGGAGCCGTTCCTGGGCTGTTCCGGGGGCGATGGCCCTGGGGGGACGTGGCCCTGGGGGTGACCCTGCCCATCTGTGGGGTGGGGGGAACACGGTGGGGGCTCTTCCTCCTCTTTGGGACAGTTGTTCTTGTTTTGGGGACAGTCACCTCCTCCTGGGGACCGTTACCTCCATTTTGGGGCTGCTTATCCTCGTTTAGGGACAGTCATTCCCATTTTGGGGCTGCTTATCCCCGTTTAGGGACAGTCATTCCCATTTTGGGGCTGCTTATCCCTGTTTAGGGACAGTCATTCCCGTTTTGGGGTTGCTTATTCCCATACAGGGACAGTCATTCCTCTTTTGGGGCTGCTTATCCTCATTTAGGGAATTATTCCTCTTTTGGGGCTGTTTATCCCCATTTAGGGAGAGCTATTCCCATTTTCGGGCTGTTTATCCCCATTTAGGGAATTATTCCCATTTTGGGGCTCTTTATCCCCATTTAGGGACAGTCATTCCCATTTTGGGGCTGCTTATTCCTATATAGGGACAGTCATTCCTCTTTTGGGGCTGCTTATCCTCATTTAGGGAATTATTCCCATTTTTGGGCTGCTTATCCCCATTTAGAGAGAGTTATTCCCATTTTGGGGTTGCTTATCCCCTTTTAGGGAATTATTCCCATTTTTGGGCTGGTTATCCCCGTTTAGGGACAGTTATTCCTGCTTTGGTCTGCTTATCCCTCTTGTGGGGCCCCTTATCCCCATTTTTGGGCCGGTTATCCCCATTTTGGTGCCGGTTATCTCCCTTTTGGGTCCTGTTACCCCGCTGTGGGGCCGCTGATGGCGGCTCGGGGCTGTCCCCACGGGGGTGGCCGTGTCCCCACGGGGTGGCCGTGTCCCCTGGCAGGAGCTGGTGGTGCAGAAGGGCTGGCGCCTGCCCGAGTACACGGTGACGCAGGAGTCGGGGCCGGCGCACCGCAAGGAGTTCACCATGACGTGCCGCGTGGAGAGATTCGTGGAGATCGGTGAGGGCAGCCGGGGGTCCCGGGCAGGGCCGGGGGTCCCGGCTCACCCCAGCCCCTCCCCAGGCAGCGGCACCTCCAAGAAGCTGGCCAAGCGCAACGCGGCCGCCAAGATGCTGGTGAGGATCCACAACGTGCCCATGGAGCCGCGCGACGGCAGCGAGGCCGAGGGCGAGGAGGACCAGTTCAACATGGTACTGGGGCCACTGGGAGGGACACGGGCGCCCAGAGCCACCCCCGAGTCACACAGAGCCACCCCAGAGTCCCCCAGAGCCACCCTGGAGTCACCCAAAGTCCCCCAGAGCCACCCCAGAGCCACCCAGTGTCACCCAGCGTCCCCTCTGCCCCTGCTCCAGGCCGTGGGGAGGGCACCCTCTGGGTTTGGGGTGGTGGGTGACCCCGGGGGTGTCCCACTGTTCCCGGGGGGGTTCCCACACCTCGGGGGGGCTCGGGGCAGACCCCGGGGGCTGGGCAGGTCCCCGAGCGCCCCGTGCCCCCTCCCCAGACGTGCCCCCGGCTGGAGGGGCTGCGGGGCCGCGCCCCCGGCTGCACCTGGGACTCGCTGCGCAACTCGGCGGGCGAGAAGCTGGGCCAGCTGCGGAGCCGGGGGGGCAACCCCGCGCCGGGGGGGGCCTGCGCCCTCCTGCAGGAGCTCTCGGAGGAGCAGAGCTTCGCCATCAGCTACCTCGACATCGGTGAGCCCCCTCCTCCCCAGCCGGCACCCCGCGGGAGCCCCGGCCCGCCCCGGGGCCCTGGGGTGACCCCGCTGTGCCCCCAGACGCGCTGAGCCTCAGCGGGCTGCACCAGTGCCTGGTGGAGCTGTCCACGCAGCCGACCACGGTGTGCCACGGCACCGCCCCGTCCCGCGACGGCGCCCGCGCCCAGGCCGCCCGCAACGCGCTGCAGTACCTGCGCATCATGGCCGGGGGCAAGTGAGCCCTGCCCGGGGCAAGTGAGCCCTGCCCGGGGCAAGCAAACCCTGCCCGGGGCTAGCCAGCCCTGCCCGGGGCTAGCCAGCCCCGCCGGGCACGGGCACTGCCCCCCGCCCCCCGGGCAGCGCTCGGAGCTCCGGACATGGCCCCCACCCGCGCCCCTGCGCCGCCCCCGCTGCAGGTGGACAGACAGACGGACCTCAGGGCCCGGGACCCCCCTCTGGCCTGGCCCCCCGATCCGGAGGGTCCCCGGTGCCATCGGCCCCCCAGAATAAAGCTGGGGGGGTTTGTACTCCCCGTGTCCGTGTCTGCTTGGGGCCGGGGGGGGAAGGGGCGGGAGCCGCGTCCCCCCACCCGCCCCGGGGGAAGCAGAGCGAGGGCTCGGGGTGGGGGTGGGATCGCTTTATTGGGGGTGTTGGGAGCCCCCGGGGGCTCGGCCGGGCTCGGGCCGGGCTCAGCGGCGGCGGCCGAAGCGCTGCGGGGTCGCCATGGTCCAGAACGGGGCCGCAGGGGGGTCCCAGCTGCGGGGGCTGAGCCGGGCCCGGGGCCCCCCCTGCGGCCCCCAGCCCGACCTGCCGGGGGAACACGGCACCGTCGATCCGCACCGGGGACACGATGGGGACAGACAGAGGGACAGGGGTGGATGGGAGTGACGGACAGATGGACGGGCGGATGGATGGGAATGGGCTGAACACGGACACTTAATGGGGACCCCCAGCCCCGACCACCGACCCTTCTCAGGCACCCCCAAACCCCCCGGTCCCTCCCCACCTCCTGCGTCCCCGCGCTGTCCCCAGACCCCCCGGGCCCCTGTCCCCGCTCACCTGCGCGGCGCCGGGGGGGCCCCGGGGCGCTGCAGGGAGCGGAGCAGCGCTGCCAGCGCGGCGGCCCCGGGGGGCGGCCCCGGGGGGGCGGCGGCCTGAGGCGGGGGAGAACCGGGGCTCACAGCGGTCCTGGAACCGGAGAGAGACCCCCCAACCCCGAGCATCCCCCCACCACGCGGAGCCCCCGGGCCGGGGGTCCCGGGACAGGCGCGGGCGGAGCGCGGGGTCCCCGCCAGCAGCAGCAGCAGCAGCAGCAGCACCGGGCGCCCCGCCATCGCCAGCGCCGCCCTGCTTATCCCCGTTTAGGGACAGTCATTCCCATTTTGGGGCTGCTTATCCCCGTTTAGGGACAGTCATTCCCATTTTGGGGCTGCTTATCCCCGTTTAGGGACAGTCATTCCCATTTTGGGGCTGCTTATCCCCGTTTAGGGACAGTCATTCCCATTTTGGGGCTGCTTATCCCCGTTTAGGGACAGTCATTCCCATTTTGGGGCTGCTTATCCCCGTTTAGGGACAGTCATTCCCATTTTGGGGCTGCTTATCCCCGTTTAGGGACAGTCATTCCCATTTTGGGGCTGCTTATCCCCGTTTAGGGACAGTCATTCCCATTTTGGGGCTGCTTATCCCCGTTTAGGGACAGTCATTCCCATTTTGGGGCTGCTTATCCCCGTTTAGGGACAGTCATTCCCATTTTGGGGCTGCTTATCCCCGTTTAGGGACAGTCATTCCCATTTTGGGGCTGCTTATCCCCGTTTAGGGACAGTCATTCCCATTTTGGGGCTGCTTATCCCTATTTAGGGACAGTCATTCCCGTTTTGGGGTTGCTTATTCCCATACAGGGACAGTCATTCCTCTTTTGGGGCTGCTTATCCTCATTTAGGGAATTATTCCTCTTTTGGGGCTGTTTATCCCCATTTAGGGAGAGCTATTCCCATTTTCGGGCTGTTTATCCCCATTTAGGGAATTATTCCCATTTTGGGGCTCTTTATCCCCATTTAGGGACAGTCATTCCCATTTTGGGGCTGCTTATTCCTATATAGGGACAGTCGTTCCTCTTTTGGGGCTGCTTATCCTCATTTAGGGAATTATTCCCATTTTTGGGCTGCTTATCCCCATTTAGAGAGAGTTATTCCCATTTTGGGGTTGCTTATCCCCTTTTAGGGAATTATTCCCATTTTTGGGCTGGTTATCCCCGTTTAGGGACAGTTATTCCTGCTTTGGTCTGCTTATCCCTCTTTTGGGGCCCCTTATCTCCATTTTTGGGCCGGTTATCCCCATTTTTGGGCCAGTTATCCCCATTTTGGGCTGGTTATCTCCATTTTAGGGCTGGGTATCTCCATTTTGGGCTGGTTATCCCCATTTTGGGCCGGTTATCCCCATTTTGGTGCCGGTTATCTCCCTTTTGGGTCCTGTTACCCCGCTGTGGGGCCGCTGATGGCGGCTCGGGGCTGTCCCCACGGGGGTGGCCGTGTCCCCACGGGGTGGCCGTGTCCCCTGGCAGGAGCTGGTGGTGCAGAAGGGCTGGCGCCTGCCCGAGTACACGGTGACGCAGGAGTCGGGGCCGGCGCACCGCAAGGAGTTCACCATGACGTGCCGCGTGGAGAGATTCGTGGAGATCGGTGAGGGCAGCCGGGGGTCCCGGGCAGGGCCGGGGGTCCCGGGCAGGGCCGGGGGTCCCGGCTCACCCCAGCCCCTCCCCAGGCAGCGGCACCTCCAAGAAGCTGGCCAAGCGCAACGCGGCCGCCAAGATGCTGGTGAGGATCCACAACGTGCCCATGGAGCCGCGCGACGGCAGCGAGGCCGAGGGCGAGGAGGACCAGTTCAACATGGTACTGGGGCCACTGGGAGGGACACGGGCGCCCAGAGCCACCCCCGAGTCACACAGAGCCACCCCAGAGTCCCCCAGAGCCACCCTGGAGTCACCCAAAGTCCCCCAGAGCCACCCCAGAGCCACCCAGTGTCACCCAGCGTCCCCTCTGCCCCTGCTCCAGGCCGTGGGGAGGGCACCCTCTGGGTTTGGGGTGGTGGGTGACCCCGGGGGTGTCCCACTGTTCCCGGGGGGGTTCCCACACCTCGGGGGGGCTCAGGGCAGACCCCGGGGGCTGGGCAGGTCCCCGAGCGCCCCGTGCCCCCTCCCCAGACGTGCCCCCGGCTGGAGGGGCTGCGGGGCCGCGCCCCCGGCTGCACCTGGGACTCGCTGCGCAACTCGGCGGGCGAGAAGCTGGGCCAGCTGCGGAGCCGGGGGGGCAACCCCGCGCCGGGGGGGGCCTGCGCCCTCCTGCAGGAGCTCTCGGAGGAGCAGAGCTTCGCCATCAGCTACCTCGACATCGGTGAGCCCCCTCCTCCCCAGCCGGCACCCCGCGGGAGCCCCGGCCCGCCCCGGGGCCCTGGGGTGACCCCGCTGTGCCCCCAGACGCGCTGAGCCTCAGCGGGCTGCACCAGTGCCTGGTGGAGCTGTCCACGCAGCCGACCACGGTGTGCCACGGCACCGCCCCGTCCCGCGACGGCGCCCGCGCCCAGGCCGCCCGCAACGCGCTGCAGTACCTGCGCATCATGGCCGGGGGCAAGTGAGCCCTGCCCGGGGCAAGTGAGCCCTGCCCGGGGCAAGCCAGCCCTGCCGGGGGGCAAGGAAGCCCTGCCCGGGGCAAACAAACCCTGCCCGGGGCAAACAAACCCTGCCCGGGGCTAGCCAGCCCTGCCCGGGGCTAGCCAGCCCCGCCGGGCACGGGCACTGCCCCTCGCCCCCCGGGCAGCGCTCGGAGCTCCGGACATGGCCCCCACCCGCGCCCCTGCGCCGCCCCCGCTGCAGGTGGACAGACAGACGGACCTCAGGGCCCGGGACCCCCCTCTGGCCTGGCCCCCCGATCCGGAGGGTCCCCGGTGCCATCGGCCCCCCAGAATAAAGCTGGGGGGGTTTGTACTCCCCGTGTCCGTGTCTGCTTGGGGCCGGGGGGGGAAGGGGCGGGAGCCGCGTCCCCCCACCCGCCCCGGGGGAAGCAGAGCGAGGGCTCGGGGTGGGGGTGGGATCGCTTTATTGGGGGTGTTGGGAGCCCCCGGGGGCTCGGCCGGGCTCGGGCCGGGCTCAGCGGCGGCGGCCGAAGCGCTGCGGGGTCGCCATGGTCCAGAACGGGGCCGCAGGGGGGTCCCAGCTGCGGGGGCTGAGCCGGGCCCGGGGCCCCCCCTGCGGCCCCCAGCCCGACCTGCCGGGGGAACACGGCACCGTCGATCTGCACCGGGGACACGATGGGGACAGACAGAGGGACAGGGGTGGATGGGAGTGACGGACAGATGGACGGGCGGATGGATGGGAATGGGCTGAACACGGACACTTAATGGGGACCCCCAGCCCCGACCACCGACCCTTCTCAGGCACCCCCAAACCCCCCGGTCCCTCCCCACCTCCTGCGTCCCCGCGCTGTCCCCAGACCCCCCGGGCCCCTGTCCCCGCTCACCTGCGCGGCGCCGGGGGGGCCCCGGGGCGCTGCAGGGAGCGGAGCAGCGCTGCCAGCGCGGCGGCCCCGGGGGGCGGCCCCGGGGGGGCGGCGGCCTGAGGCGGGGGAGAACCGGGGCTCACAGCGGTCCTGGAACCGGAGAGAGACCCCCCAACCCCGAGCATCCCCCCACCACGCGGAGCCCCCGGGCCGGGGGTCCCGGGACAGGCGCGGGCGGAGCGCGGGGTCCCCGCCAGCAGCAGCAGCAGCAGCAGCAGCCACGGCCGCGCCGCCATCTGGCGGGAGCGGCCCCGGCCCCGCCGCCGTTAATGAAACACATTTAGCAGCCGCGACAGCCGCCCCCGGGGACAGACGGACGGACGGACGGATGGGCGGACGGGAAAGCCCCGCACCGCCCGGGCCCCGAACCGGCACCGCGGAGCGAGACCCCCGGGACCCCCGTCCTGCCCCGGGACTTCACGAGGCCACGACCCCCTGAGACGGGGACCCTTCCCCTGTCCCGCAACCAGCTCAGGAGCCCCAGACGGGGACCCCAACCAGCCCGTCACCCCCTCCGGTGGCCGCTGCGCGCTCCTGCAGCCCCGACGGCGCGGCCGCGGCTCCCCCGACCCCAAAGCAGCCGAAACGGCCCCAAAACACGCAGCGAGGGCTGGGACGCTGCGGTGTCCCCACAAGCAGCTCCCCGCTGACGGGTGACAGTCCCGGTGTCACCCTCGGGCCAGCGCCCCCACACCGGGAAGCCCCGGGGACAGCCGGGGGTGTCGGTGGCACACAGAGACACCGGGGGCGTCCCCGGCCCGCACCCCCACAAAGGGCAGCAGCCGGCGGCTCCTGGGTAATATTTTAATGTTATATTTGCAGCATAAATAAAAGGCACGTTACATGTTTGGTATGACACGGCCGAGGGCTGGGGGGGCTGGGACGGGTCCCCCGGGTCCCCCCCGGCCCCGGGCCCCGCGGGGGCTGTGAGGACCCGCTCACAGGAGCCCGGGCGGGCGGGGGTCCCTGGGGGGCTGCGGGGGGGTCAGCCCCGCGCGGCCGATCTACGATACATGGGTGCGTATAGGCGTCGATATGGACTGATAGATACTACACAGGTACTCGGGGGTCCTTTTTGGCTTCTTCCATTATTGATCGTCAAAGCTCGTGGCACAAAGCAGCTGGGGGCGGGGGGCGCGCCCGGGACCCTCCTCCCGCGTCCCTTCGGCACCTCCCGGGCTCGTTTTGGGGCGGGACTGGGGTGAACAGAGCAGGAACGGGTCCAGGAGCCCCGAAATGACACAATTCCCACCTGAGCCAAGAATCCCGGACAAAACTCCAGTGGAGGGGGGAAATGGGCACCAACTCTCCCCACCCCGCCCGATCCGGGGGATTTGGAGGCTGAAAAGGGAGGAGGAGGGAGGGAGCAGCTCCCCCCGGGGGGTTCCGGGGCCTGCTCTGCAGCCATTCGTTCCTACTCAATGATTCCCATAAAATCCACCAACCCCAAATCCCCGCACCCCGGGCTCCCCCAGCCCGGCCCCAGCAGCGCCGCGAGGAGCCCCCGGTGTCCCCCGGGGCAGGAGGGGACAGGAGCGGGGACAGGAGGAAGGCTCGGCCCCGGGATGCCCGGGGCTCCCGGAGCCGGGGCTGGCAGAGCAAAGTGCAGGTGCCCGGCGCTGCCGAGCGGGGCTGGGGGCTGCCACCCCCGGCAAAGCGAGAGGAATCAGCACGGAGCACAATCAGGGCAGGGCTTTGCCCCAAACTGGTCACGAAGTGAGGAGTGGCTGCTTTTGGGGTGGAACACGCGTGGAACGGGCACGGGGAGCTCCAGCCCTGCGAGTGAAGCGACAGCAGAGCCAGGAACAGCCGAGCCCGGAGTCAGCTCGGTCCCTGCTCGTCCCTGACCGCCTCTGGAGCTTTCCTGTGCCGGGATCTGCACAACTTTCAAGGCACTGGCGATGGGGGATGCGGGGATGGGGAGGAAGCTGCTCCTGCACCCCCATCCCGAGGGGGCCACGAGGATTCCCGGGAAGAGCAGCGAGGCATGACAACCCCATCAAAAACCCAGCCTCTCTCAGTGCCCCGAGGGCAAAACGAGGGGCCGGGAAGCTGCTGCCTTCCAGCCAAACACCACCTGGAATTTCCAGCCTTTGCTCACCCTGGTTCTGCCAGCCAGGCCCCCACGGCAAACGGGGACCCAGAGCTCAGCTCCTCCTCCCCCACGGACACCTCGGGAGGAGCTGCTGGGTCCTGCACACCCCCCAAAACAGGGGATCCCCCAAAACAGCTCTGAGCCCTCCCTGCGCCCCACCGGGGCCCTCCTGGCCCTGCACAGAAACACCCCGAGGGGACAGGGAGGGCTGGGAGCAGCTGGGAGCCCCGGGCTGGGCTTTGGAACAGCCCCAAGGGGAAAAGGGGGTCTGGGGGATGTAGGAGACCCCAACAAGGGATTCCCGAGGCTGGAGCACGGAGAGGAGCTGGGAGGAGCACGAGGACAAAGGGGAGTGTGGAGCAGCAGCACAAACCCACCCTGACCCCGATCCTGATCCCGATCCCAGCTGAGGAAAAGCTGCACAACAGGGAGGGGGAGAAGCTGGATTCCGTCTCTGGGAAAAGCCCAAAGCTCAGGACTTTCCCATCAGTGCTGAGATCCCAGTCTCTGCTCAGCCTTGGCTTTGGGTTTTGCTGTCCCTGGGAACCTTCCAAGTGTGGAGGAACCAACCAAAATCACCTGGACAAACCAACCTGGCTCCAAAGTGGCGAGTGCGACCTGAGGGGGGCTTGGCTGAGGAGGGACCTGGGAGGGGCAGGAATTCCAGGGGCTGCAGCAGTTCCACAGACCGGGACAAGATTCCTTCCCCATCCCAAAAACACGCAGCAGCCCTTCCCATTCCCATTCCCCCATTCCCATTCCCATTCCTCACTCCTCACTCCCCATTCCTGTTCCCATTCCCATTCCCGTTCCCATTCCCCATTCCCATTCCCATTCCCCATTCCCGTTCCCACTCCCCATTCCCCATTCCCGTTCCCACTCCCCATTCCCCACTCCCCATTCCCCATTCCCAGCTCTGGCAGCAGTGCCTGGGGAAGCTCTGGAGCCAGGCAGGGACACAGGGCACAGAGCCCGGTGTGCACCCAGCAGGACAGGGGACCCCTCCAGTTCCTCAGCGCGCAGGGTGGGATCTGGCCCTGCCCAGGCTCGGGGATCCTTTGTCTGCTCCGGCTGGAAGCCGCTCCGGCGGCTCTGTCACCGCCCCGGCCCCGCTCCCGTTCCCTCCCCACAATCCATGATTTAAGGCCACCACTGCTGAGGTCACCGAGGTCCGTGAGCGGGAGCTGATGTGGGCTGGGGGCTGGGGCTGCTCTGTCACTGCCAGCTGGGCCCTCCCGCGCCCCAGTCCCGGCGGCACCCGAGCCCCGTTTCCTGGGAACGCGGGAGCAGCCCTGCCAGCCCGTCCCTGTCCCCAGCCCCAGCCGCTGGGCTCAACCCAGAGCAGTGCTGCTTCCCAAAATCCACGGCTGGGGCAGAGAGGAGCCCTGCACGCCCGTCAGCTCAGAGCTCCGGGAGGCTCCTGGGGAAGGTGCAACGATGTGGGGAGTGGGGACAAGCCCGGGAGCAGCACGGGGCCAGCACGGAGTGTCACAGCCCCCTGCCCGGGGCACGGGGCCAGCACGGAGTGTCACAGCCCCCTGCCCGGGGCACGGGGCCAGCACAGAGTGTCACAGCCCCCTGCCCGGGGCCAGCACGGAGTGTCACAGCCCCCTGCCCGGGGCACGGGGCCAGCACGGAGTGTCACAGCCCCCTGCCTGGGGCACGGGGACAGCGCCTGGGGCTCGCCCGCAGTTTAGTGTTGGCCACGGAGCCCCGGAGCCCGCCCTTCGCGGGGGCTGCGCCGGGGGAAAGCGGCAGAGCTGCCCTTACCTCAGAACAGAACAGAACAGAAGGGATAAAACCCCGAAAGGAAAGGGAAGGTCCCGCGGCCCGGGGCCGCGCTCAGTCCGTGGCCCGGGGCCATCATCTGCCGGCAGACTGCGACTGTGGGGCCATGATGACGTGCGAGGCCACGGGCACGGCCAGCTCTGTCCTTTGCCCGGCCATCTGCGCCAGCACCGAGGTGGCCACGGCCTCGGCGGCCGAGCGCGCGGCGCTGAGCCCGTTGGGCGCGGCCGAGGCCGAGCTGTGCTGGATGACGGGCGCGGGCGAGCCCGTGGGCTCCGAGCTCTCCTTGGGGCTCTCTGCAGGGAGAACGGCAGCCAGAGAGCGGGGTCAGCGACGGGGACAGCGGGAGGGGACAGAGAGGGACAGTGAGGGATGGGGGGGACAGTGAGGGACTGGGGTGGGAATGGCGCTGGATTGGATTTGGGAATGGTGCTGGATTGGATTTGGGAATGGTGCTGGATTTGATTTGGGAATGGTGCTGGTCTGGATTTGGGAATGGCGCTGGTCTGGATTTGGGAATAGTGCTGGATTTGATTTGGGAATGGCGCTGGATTGGATTTGGGAATGGCGCTGGATTTGATTTGGGAATGGTGCTGGTCTGGATTTGGGAATGGCGCTGGTCTGGATTTGGGAATAGTGCTGGATTTGATTTGGGAATGGCGCTGGCCCAGAGGGGGATCAGGGACCAGCAGGAACAGGCTGGACACTCCAGCCTGGAGCAGAGAGAATCCAGCCCCACGGAATGTGGAACCTTTGGGCAGGGCTGGGACAGGAGCAGGACACAAGGATCCTCCCCGCCCTCCCCATCCCAAGGAGAAGCAGGCTGATCCTCCCGAATTCCAGGCAGGAAGCAGCACAGCTTCCCGAGGAGGGCAGCACTGGCACAACCTTCATCCCACCATCCATTCCTCGTTAACAGGAGTTAATTTCCCCTCAGGTTTTGGAGCCGAGGCTGAGCAGCCCCTTCCCCACCTGCCAGGGGGAGCAGGATCCCTCAGCAGGGCCAGGAGCTGGGCTTTCGGGGCTGTTTTTCACCTAAATCACCTGCTTTGCTCTTTATTGCTCCCCAAGATGTTAAAATCAATCAGAGCCCATCACAGGGCTCTGCCTGCTCCCTTTGTCTGGGAATTTGCAGCACCATGAGGGGACGGGGGCAGACAAAGGCAGAGCCCTCCTTCCCTTTGTTCAGGGCCTTCCAGAATTTTGGGAGGCAGAGCTGCGGGGCCAGGGGATCACCTGGGAGCTCTGGGATGCCCCAGAGCTGCCAGCAGGGAATTCCACCTCCCTTTGCAAGAGCAAACAAAGGCAGGAGCTGGATGTGAAACTGGGGCTGGGGAAGATCAGGTGTGGGGTTCAACCTTGCCCTGGGCTGGGGGAGGTCGAGCAGAGCAATCTCCTCAATCTCCCCCCTGGCACCCCACCCTGGAGATCCACAATAAAGCTCCCAGCTCCATCAGGGACCCGGGGCTTTGTCCAGGACCTCCTGGCCACAAATCTCGGCCATACAAAGGGGCAGAGGGGAGGGGGCAGTCTCAGTTTTAGCCTTCAGATGTGTGATGAATTCCTGCTGCTGTGGGGAACGGGGAGGGGAATTGGGAGCCTGGGGATGAGCAGGGAGAAGCAGGGAGCCCCCAGGCTCTGCAGGGCTGGGACGTGGGGACCTGGGGACATCTGAGGGACTCTGAGCCACCCAGGGGTGGCAGTGGCTGTGCCAGACCCCTCCAGCACATCCCTGTGCCTCACCAGGCAGGGCAGAATCCCACAGACCCAGGCAGGGGGCAAGGCACAGCCCCCAAGGACAGTGAATTTGAAATTTTTAGATTTTTTTTTGTTTTTCTCCCTGGTTTTCTGCAGTTTCCATTCTCTCAGCTCATCCTCCCATTTTTCCAAGGAACACTAGAGGACTCCAGCGTCCTCCCAAAGCCTCTCAGCAGCTGGAATTTGTATTGCAGGGAGGGCAGCAGGACCCAGATCGTGTTTAGCTCCCGGGTTGGTTATAATGAAACAGGCAGCATTAAAAAAAAATGATGGGAAGAAAAGGAGATAAAAAAGAGCCTTTTTCTTTTTTTTTTAACTCCCAAGCCGAGCCAGCTCGGTGGGAATGGCAGAGAATGAGCAATGGAGCTCCATGATGTCATGGAGAGAGTCTGGCCTCTCCTGACTCGGCCTTTGCTGTGGAGCAGCAGATTTGGCACTTGAGGGGGATGATCAAGGCTTGGCTGGCCGCCAGAGCAGGGGGGCTGCAGCCACACCAGGCACCCCCGGGGAGGGACAGGGACACAAACCCTGCCCGGGGCACTGCCCTGGCAGCCAGTGCCACCCCAAGGTCAAAGGGACAGCCTGGGGACCCTCCTCAGCAGGAGGTGGGCACAAATGTCCTGGGGGGGCTCTGAGGGGTCTTTGGGGTGTCCTGTGCCCAGCCCAGGCGTTCTGCACTCCCTGCTGTGTCCTGGGCAGTGACCCTGAGTGACAGGGGGTGGCAGGGGGTGGCAGGCACAGCATGGGGACAGTCCCCCCCTCCCTGGCAGCAGAGCCAGCCCAGCCCAGCCATCACTCACCCAGGTAGCCCTGGGTCTTCTTCTGCAGGGCGGTGACGGGACAGTCCTTGTGGGCCAGCAGCAGCTGCTTCAGCTGAGCCACCTCGTTCCTGAGCAGCGTCACCTCGTTCTGAGGGGACACACACACACCCCCGTGTCACCCGCAGCAGCCCAGGCCCTGCCAGCCTCCCCTGCTCTGATCCGAGGTGCCCCCAGCTCGGGAGGGGAGCTCCTGCTGGGGACACTGGCCAAGGGCCAGCAGCACTCTGGGGACAGTGGCCAAGGGGGTTTCCTGTCCCTGGCTGGGGTCACTGAGCTCCTCCTGAGCCCTCCTGCCAGTGCCACCCGTGCCAGGCACACCTGGAGTGCTGCTGTGGGACACGGGCAGTGACAGCTCTGCCTCCAAAACCTCCTCAGAGCGTCCCCCTGAGACGTGGGGGGGAGCAGCTGAAACCCCAAAAGTGCCCAAGGGAAGAGCTGCTCTAGGTGTCCTGGGAGGGAACAAAGCCAGGGCTGTGCCAGGGCCATACCAGCACTGTGCCAGCGGCGTGCCAGGGCTGTGTCTGGCCATACCAGCGCTGTGCCAGGGCTGCGCCAAGGCTGTGCCAGTGCTGTGCTAGCCCTGTGCCAGGGCTGTACCAGGGCTGCACCACGGCCGTACCAGGGCCATGCCAGGGCCGTACTAAGGCTGTACCAGGGCCATGCCAAGGCTGCACCACGGCTGTACCAGGGCCGTACCAGCACCGTGCCAGGGCTGTGCTCAGCCCCGTTACATACTCACGCTCAGCTGGATGTTCTGGCTGGTGAGCTCCTCGGCCTTCTTCTCCAGGGAGGACACCCAGAGCTTGCGCTTCTGCCGGCAGCGCGAGGCGGCCGCGCGGTTCCGCTCCAGGAAGCGCTGCCGCCGCTCGTCCGGGTCCTCGTCGGCCGCCCGCCGCCGCCGCCCGCCCGTGCTGGGCGTGGGCTGGGCAGCGGCGTGCCAGGGCTGTGTCTGGCCATACCAGCGCTGTGCCAGGGCTGCGCCAAGGCTGTGCCAGTGCTGTGCTAGCCCTGTGCCAGGGCTGCACCAGGGCTGCACCACGGCCGTACCAGGGCCATGCCAAGGCTGCACCAGGGCTGCACCACGGCCGTACCAGGGCCATGCCAAGGCTGCACCAGGGCTGCACCACGGCCGTACCAGGGCCATGCCAAGGCTGCACCAGGGCTGCACCACGGCCGTACCAGGGCCATGCCAAGGCTGCACCAGGGCTGCACCACGGCCGTACCAGGGCCATGCCAAGGCTGCACCAGGGCTGTACGAGGGCCGTAGCAGCACCGTGCCAGCGGCGCGCCAGGGCTGTGCTCAGCCCCGTTACATACTCACGCTCAGCTGGATGTTCTGGCTGGTGAGCTCCTCGGCCTTCTTCTCCAGGGAGGACACCCAGAGCTTGCGCTTCTGCCGGCAGCGCGAGGCGGCCGCGCGGTTCCGCTCCAGGAAGCGCTGCCGCCGCTCGTCCGGGTCCTCGTCGGCCGCCCGCCGCCGCCGCCCGCCCGTGCTGGGCGTGGGCTGGGCAGGGGACACCTGCGGGGACGGGGGACAGGGGACAGGGGACAGGGGCAGCCTCAGCAGCAGCTCTGGGGACAGGCAGGACGCGGCGCTGGCACCGCCGAGCAGAGCTCGGTGCCGCTCTCGGGGCGGCAGATAATCCCGGCTTTTAAGCAGGTAATTGGCTTTAAAAATGAATTTTCCCCTCAAAACCTGCAGCCAAACCAGCCCTTGGAGGCAGTGGGGAACGGGAGGTTGTGCAGAGCCCCGGTTTTACCCGGGAGAACAAAGGAAGAGCAGCCCCGGCCCCGCAGACCGCGGGCCAGCCCAGCCCCACTGCAGCACATGGAGATGGAACTGCAAGGCCACCCGAGCCCGGAGCAGGTGGCCACGCTGATGGAAGGCTGGCATTTGGCTGGCTGCAGCAGCCAGCCCAGCTGACTGCCTGACAGGGAAGCGTTTAACCCCCGAAGTGGGCGGGGAGGAGAGAGGGGAGATGCTCCTTCCCAGCTCCGGGCAGAGGAAGGCGGGCTGCAGCCCCTGCCTGGTGGGCTGAGCGCCCCAGCGCTGGAGCAGCACTGAAAGAACAGGTTTTAACCCATTCTGCAGCGCAGGGAGCACGCTGGGAGGTTTCCTGCTCCTTGCCAAGCCCTGGCAGCCCCCGCGTGCCCAGCCCAGCCCCCGGGGAGCAGCAGCAGCAGCAGCAGCAGCAGCGGCAGCACAGACCTGTGGCTGGGCTGGGGAGGGGGCGTCGGGGTGCTGGCCCAGCACCTGGCTCTGCTCTGGCCGCGCCGTCACCATGGTGCTGGCCGAGCCCACCACCAGGCTGCTGCCGTTCAGCGAGGACGACGCTGCCAGGCTGGCCTTCAGCCTCTGCCAGGGGAGCAAAAGGGACATCAGAGGAGCTGCCAGCGCCCCCAGCAGCCCCTGCCACCCTGAGCACCCCGCTGGCAACGGGCACCAGCAGCGCCCAGTTCACTGGGCAGTGCCCAGCCCAGCCCAGTGGGCAGTGCCCAGCCCACACCCGCTGCTGGCACTGGCAGCAATTCCCTGCCCAGCTGGCAGCCCCAGGCACTGAGCAGGCTGCAGAGCCCAAGTGTCCCCAAGTGCCCACAGCGGATCTGGGGGGTGGAGAGGGACCCTGGTAATAAATCCCTTCCCTGGCTCTTTGGGAAGGGGAAAAGCTCCCAGGCAGGAGCTGCTGGAGGCTGAGGGACCCCCGTGACCCCCTCCCTGCCACTCACCATTTTGGCTTCGGAGTGCACCGGGAGGCCTGAGGGCGAGAGGGACCCGCTGCTGTTGATGGGGGGCCCGGGAATGCCAGGGATGTTGGGCACCATGGCCACGGGCCGGGCCAGCTGCCAGGGGAGCAGGACAGCAGCGTTGGCACGTGGAGCAGCTCTGCAGGAGCCCCCTGACACAGCAGCTCTGCCAACCCTGACAAACTCCTGTCACCTGTGACTTGATGTCACCCACGGCCGTGGCCACGGTGCCCGCGTCAGAATCGCCCAGCACGGAGCACAGGGAAGGGGCAGCTCCTTCCCTTCCCTTCCCTTCCCTTCCCTTCCCTTCCCGGAGAAGGCCGGCGCATCCCCTTCCCTTCCCTTCCCTTCCCGGTGCCGTTCCCTGCCCCAGTGGCCGCAGTGGCCGCAGTGTCCAGCATGGCCGGCCGTGCTCCCTGCCAGCCCAGCTGCCCTGGGAGCAGGCTGTTCCAAATGGAAGCAGCTCCTGGGGACGCTGTGGCTGCCAGCCCTGGCCTGGCAGTGCCAGCCATCTGTCGGGGCACGGGTTTGGATCTTTCCAAAGGGCTGATTGCCCTCTGGTGCGGTGCTGTTACTGCTGCCCCTGCCCCTCCTGCAGCCCCCTGGCTCCGAGGGGAGATGGAGACACGGAGAGTGTGGGCAGGGCAGGGCAGGGCAGGCAGTCTGGAAGCTCCTCTCACCGAGATGACAGAAGGCATCTGCACGGGGGGCCCGGGCAGCACGGGCATGGTCTGGCCGTTGGCGAGCTGCACGACGAGCGGGAGGGAGCCGCTGGGAGACCTGCAAGGCAACGGCTCTGCACCACTGCCCGGGCATGCCAGGGCCACAGGGCCACGCCTGCACCTCCCGAGGGCCCGGCGTGGCCCCTGAAGGCAGCCCCCTTCCTTCCCGTGCAGGGCCTGCCATGCTCTGGGCCGCAGCCCCCAGGAGCTCCAGGGCAACCAGGAGCAGGTCCTGAGCCGTGCCAGGGCCAACAGCCCCCGAGGCAGGGCCAGCAGCTCGGAGGCCACACTTCAGAGGCACCAAACACGGCCTGAGGCAATCCCTGAGCCATCCCAGCTCCCGAGACAATCCCTGAGACAACCCCTGAGACAATCCCTCAGACAATCCCTGGCACAATCCCTGACACAATCCCTGACACAATCCCAGACACAATCCCTGACACATTCCCTGACACAATCCCTGAGACAACCCCTGAGACAATCCCAGACACAATCCTGAGCCATCCCAGCACACAATCCATTCCCTGACACAACCCCAGACACAACCCCAGACACAATCCCTGACACAATCCCTGACACAATCCCTGAGACAACCCCAGACACAATCCCTGACACATTCCCTGACACAATCCCTGACACAATCCCTGACACAACCCCAAGCCATCCCAGCTCCAGACACAACCCCAGACACATTCCCTGACACAATCCCTGACACAATCCCTGACACATTCCCTGAAACAATCCCTGACACAATCCCAGACACAATCCCTGACACAACCCCAGACACAACCCCAAGCCATCCCAGCTCCAGACACATTCCCCACCAGCCGGCGCCGTGCCGAGCCCAGGGAGCTCTTTCATCTCTCCCCACGGTGAGTTTTGCCTCGTTTCACCGAGTTTTGCCTCGCTCCCCAGCTCCAGGACAATCAGTTCCTGCTCCCTGCACGCCACCGCGCCGTGCTGCCGCAGCCGGAGCGTGGCAGCCGTGACAGCCCCGGCGTGGCAGCCCCTCCAGGCAACTCCTGGGCTGGAATCCCTGCTCCGTGCGTACTCACCCCAGCTGTCTGTTGGAGGGGGGGGCCTGGGTGATGACGGAGGTGGGGGACGGCAGCGTGGGGTGCAGGGGGTCGTAGCCCAGGTGCAGCGGCAGCGAGCCCGGCCGCACGATGGTGGGCGTGGGCGTGGAGAGGATCACGGGCTTGGAGGGGCCCTCCTGCGGGGCAGAGCACACAACAGGGGCTGCTGACTGCCAGCTCCTCACACCGCCACGGCTCTCCCTCCTGCAGCCTCCAGAATTCAGAAACTGAGGGGAGCACATCACCCACGGCTCACGGGCAGGGGGGATTGGCTCCAGCCCCTCAGCCTGGGGTGTTTGAGAGGGAGCTGAAGCTCCAGCCCCTCCATTCGGGGTGTCTGAGAGGGAGCTGAAGCTCCAGCCCCTCCATTCGGGGTGTCTGAGAGGGAGCTGAAGCTCCAGCCCTTCCATTTGGGGTGTTTGAGAGGGAGCTGAAGCTCCAGCCCCTCCATTCGGGGTGTCTGAGAGGGAGCTGAAGCTCCAGCCCCTCCATTCGGGGTGTTTGAGAGGGAGCTGAAGCTCCAGCCCTTCCATTTGGGGTGTTTGAGAGGGAGCTGAAGCTCCAGCCCCTCCATTTGGGGTGTTTTAAGAGCTCCAGCCCCTCCATTCGGGGCGCTTTAGAAAGGGGTGAATCTCCAGCCCCTCTGCCTGTCCCTTCAGCCCAAAGCAGGCTCAGAAGAGCCCAGCCCGGCCCTGAGGAGCCCAGCTGGGCCCCCGCGGGCAGAGGCACCCCGCAGCCTGGGCACAGCCCCACCTTGTCGTGGCGCGGGGGCGAGCGGGGCCGGGACGCGGGGCTGTCCGGGGGGGACGAGTCCACCTCCAGCGGCTCCTCCTCCTTGATCTTCATCTCCGGCGTGGAGGGCAGGGACATGTCCAGGGCCCCCGAGCCCTGCAGGGGAGGGGACAGTCAGCCCGGGAGGGACAGACAGCTCGGGAGGGACAGACAGCTCTGGAAGGACAGACAGCTCGGGAGGGACAGACAGCTCGGGAGGGACAGACAGCTCAGGAGGGACCCCCATCTCTCACTGTCTGCGAAACATTCCCTGCTCCCCGAGTCAGAGGCTCGGGCTCCCAGCTCTTGCCGAATTATTCTTATTTGTTTGCACTGAAGCAGCATCTGGGAGCCCGAGGCTGCTCCAGCCCTGGCCAAACGGAGGTGGAGGCCCAGCAACAACAGGCAGCCCCAGATGGCAGCAGTTTGTGGGATCTCAGTAACACACATGACTTCTCCACGGGCTGTTATTGGGATTTTTGGTATAAAAAGGGCCCTGCTAAGGAGAACAGGTACCCAAGCCAAATGCCTGCGAGTTACAGGAGGCACTTTCATTCACAGAAGAGCTGTAAAACATTGTATAAATCAGCCTGAATTATTTTATTACCCGATTATCAAAAGCAAACAAAGAGCCATGCAAGTTATTAAATATCTATGAGCGCCCCATTAAAATAAAACCCAACCATATGCCTGGACTTGGCCACTTGCCACCACCCTGGGATCCAGCAGAGCCACGTGGCCCAGTGGCACCAGCTAGTGACGTGCAGGGGACGGGCAAGGGCAGGGGACAGCTGAGGCAAGGGTGCTGCTCTAGGCCCTGTCCAGGCAGGGGAAACTGCCCCTAAACCAGCCCCGACAGCTGCTTGTCCAGCCTGCTCTCCATCCCTCCCTGCTCCCTGTCCGTCCGTCCATCCATCCATCCGTCCATCGTCCATCCATCCATCCATCCATCCATCCATCCATCCATCCTCCATCCATCCATCCATCCATCCCCTCAGTTTGGGGTATTTTACACCTCCATCTCCTCAGTCTGGGTTATTTTAGAGCTCCAGCCCCTCATTTTGGGGTATTTCAAGAGGCACACGGCTCCATCCCCTTGGTTTGGGGTATTTTACCCCTCCAGCCCCTCGGTTTGGGGTATTTCAGAGCTCCATCTCCTCGGTTTGGGGTATTTTACACCTCCATCCCCTCATTTTGGGGTATTTTACACCTCCAGCTCCTCGGTTTGGGGTATTTTACAGCTCCATCCCCTCGGTTTGGGGTATTTTACAGCTCCAGCCCCTCGCTTTGGGGTGTTTCAGAAGGCACACGGCTCCAGCCCCCCTCGGCAGCTCTGCGGGCGGCTGTGCCCGCGGTAGGTGCAGCAATAACCATTTACCTGCCCTTTCAGAGCTCAGCCGCAGCCGCGGGATCACAAAGGAGCCGGGATTAACATGCAGCAGCGCTCGGAACGCTTAAAGCGCCTCCGGGGAAGCTCCCGCTGCGCCCGCGGTTTTAATTAACGGCGCTGGAGCGAGACCACCCCCGCAAAAGGGAGGACAAACACCGACCTGGATGCTGGGAGCTCAGCCCGGCCACGGAGTGACCGGCTGGCCTCGCCCGGACAGCGGGGCTGGGCAGGACAATCCCTTCCCTAAAACCAGAGCTCCCGCGCCAGGAATGGTGCAGAATCTCATTTCTTGGCACTAATTAGGCCGAGCCGCGCTAAAGCCGGTCCTGGCAGCACGGCCCCGGGCCGCGGGGCTGGGTGGGCTGCCCGGGGCTGCTCGGTGGTTCTGTGGGTGAACACCCCTGGCTATTCCTGCCCCCATTCCTGGCTATTCCTGCCCCCATCCCCCGCTATTCCTGCTCCCCATTCCCGGCTATTCCTGCCCCCGTTCCCAGCTATTCCTGCCCCCATCCCCGGCTCTTCCCGCCCCCCTTCCCGGCTATTCCTGCCCCCATCCCCGGCTCTTCCCGCCCCCCTTCCCGGCTATTCCTGCCCCCATCCCCGGCTCTTCCCGCCCCCCTTCCCGGCTATTCCTGCCCCCATCCCCGGCTCTTCCCGCCCCCCTTCCCGGCTATTCCTGCCCCCATCCCCGGCTCTTCCCGCCCCCCTTCCCGGCTATTCCTGCCCCCATCCCCGGCTCTTCCCGCCCCCCTTCCCGGCTATTCCTGCCCCCATCCCCGGCTCTTCCCGCCCCCCTTCCCGGCTATTCCTGCCCCCATCCCCGGCTCTTCCCGCCCCCCTTCCCGGCTATTCCTGCCCCCATCCCCGGCTCTTCCCGCCCCCCTTCCCGGCTATTCCTGCCCCCATCCCCGGCTCTTCCCGCCCCCCTTCCCGGCTATTCCTGCCCCCATCCCCGGCTCTTCCCGCCCCCCTTCCCGGCTATTCCTGCCCCCATCCCCGGCTCTTCCCGCCCCCCTTCCCGGCTATTCCTGCCCCCATCCCCGGCTCTTCCCGCCCCCCTTCCCGGCTATTCCTGCCCCCATCCCCGGCTCTTCCCGCCCCCCTTCCCGGCTATTCCTGCCCCCATCCCCGGCTCTTCCCGCCCCCCTTCCCGGCTATTCCTGCCCCCATCCCCGGCTCTTCCCGCCCCCCTTCCCGGCTATTCCTGCCCCCATCCCCGGCTATTCCTGCCCCCATTCCTGGCTATTCCTGCCCCCATCCCCGGCTGCTCCTGCCTCCCTTCCCCGCTCCAGAACAAAGGGCAGGAGCCTTTGCCGCAGCCGCATACCAATGAGAGAGATCAATTTCGGTTTAAAGAGCCTGTTATTGGCGAGGGGGGGAGCGGCTGGGAAGGCAGGTTTCAGTTTTAATTCTGAATTCCTCCGTTCCCCATCTCGGGAAGATTTACGCGGCTCGGCTCCCGCAGTTTATTTCCGAGCAGCGCCGCTGACTGCGAGCGTATGCACGGCCATAGATCAATTTAGTAAATGTATGTGCCAGGCTGCGCGCCCGGCACGCATCTGCTGCCGCTCCCGCCCGGCGAGCGGGAGGGGCGGGGGCTGCAAATGTCCTTAATTAGCTGCTTTCTGATGAGATCCCCTTGTCCTTCAGCCCCTGGCGCTCGCCGGGCTGCGGGGGCAGCCTGGATCGATGGCGCTGGCGGAGCGAGGAGCTCTTTGTTAGCAGAAGCTGCTCTTTTCCACCGAGCTGACGCGCTGGGATGAACGCTCCGGTGCCCCCCACCCCGTGCCTGCCCCCCAGGCACGATCCCACCGCACCTCGGCCCCGAGGGGTTCTGCTCCCAGCCCGGGCGCTCCCAGGTACTGCAGAGCCCTCCTGAGCTGTCGGGTGTTTTGGGTACTCCCCCTCTCTATTTTCTCCCCCTTTTTCCAAGTGCAAAGCTGAAGGAATAATAAACCATGAAACCTGCTCTCTGCAGGCCAGGATCAGTGGGAAAAGCAGCCCAAGTCACCCGAGTTACAAAAACAAGACCCCACACGGCAGCAGATTCTACCCCAGGGCCTCTCACAGGAGCGGTCCCCAGTCCCTCCCAGCCCTCCCAGTGCAGCCACAGCTCTTGCCTTTTTCTCATCATCCTCAGCAGCTTTCTTGAACTCGTGCTCGAAGGAGCTGGCCAGCTCGTTGAAGAGTCCCACCTCCTCACAGTTCTTCAGGAACCGCGTCGGGGTCGGGGTCTGATCTGGTTCGGGTTGGAACACCGAGAATTGGTCAGGGAGAGCCAAAAAAACCCCATTTTACCAGCCCAGTCTTTCACTGGGGAGCCCCGGGGAATGTGGGTGTCACCCTGGGGCCAGCCAGTGACACTTTGGAACGGGACAACCATTTCGTGCTGCTTTTGTTTCTCTGGTGTTTACAGGAACAATCGCTGGAGGGAGAGGACTTCTGTGAATTCCTGGCTGTGGGATTCCCGTCCCTCCCACCCCCGGGTCTGCCCCGTCCTCAGCTGGACAAGGAGGGAAAATCGGGAGTGGGATCTCTCTGAAATTGTCCACACAGGGAGTGATGGGAGGGGAGAGCAGCCCCAGAGCCGGGCAGAGCCTCTCCCCTCCCTGTGCCAGCTCTGAACCCCAGAGGGATTCCCTGGGAATTCTTCTTTCCTTGTGCCAGCCCCCAATCCCAGAGCAATTCCCTGGGAATTCTCCTCTCCTTGTGCCAGCTCTGAATCCCAGAGTGATTCTTGGGAATTCTCTCCTTGTGCCAGCCCCCAATCCCAGAGCAATTCCCTGGGAATTCTCCTCTCCTTGTGCCAGCCCCCAATCCCAGAGTGATTCCTGGGAATTCTCCCCTCCCCGTGCCAGCCCCCAGTCCCACAGCGATTCCTGGGCTGGCTCCAGCCCCGCTGTCCCCAGCCCTGCCTGTGGGACCGTCCCCACCCCAGTGACAGCTCCGGGCCCCTCTGGCCATCACCCCTCCCTGCTGCAGCCAGCCCCAGCTCGGGGAATCACCCCAGGGCTCCATCCCGCAGGAGAACACCGGCATTTTCCAGCACAAAGAGCATCCCGGGATGGCTCAGCCCGGCCCCAAACCCTCCCTGTGCCCGGTTTGCCGCTGCAGCAGAAGCCCCTCTGGGCAGGCTGAGCTGGCCCCAGCTCCCAGCCCGTGAAATCCAGAGCTCCACCATCCCAACCCCTCGGCAGGGGCTGTTTGTGCTGGCTTTAACAGCTCCAGGGCTCCCGGGATCCTTCCTGCTCAGCACTGCCCTCCCGAGCTGCTGCAGACATCTCCAGCGGGTAAAACACCGCCTGCAACTCCTGCCCCTCTGAGCAGCTCCTGCCTCGCCCCACAGGTGCCTGTTCCCAGAAAAATCCCTCTCCCTCCCAGGAGAAGGGATCTTTATGATCCACCTGGGCCAGGTCCTGCTCCTGCCACACAGCCTCGGGAGGCAGGGAGGGAGCAGCAAATCCCAGAGAGGAAATGGTCCCAAAAATCCCAGAGAAAATGGTCTTAAAAAAATTCCAGAGACAAAATGGTCCCAAAAATCCCAGAGAAAATGGTCTTAAAACAATTCCAGAGACAAAATGGTCCCAAAAAAAACCCCAGAGACAAAATGGTCCCAAAAATCCCAGAGAAAAAACGGTCCCAAAAATCCCAGCGAAAAAATAGTCTCAAAGAAAACCCAGAGACAAAATGGTCCCAAAAACCAGAGAAAAAATGGGCCCAAAAAAAAACCCAGAGACAAAATGGTCCCAAAAATCCCAGAGACAAAATGGTGGCTCAGAAAAACCTGGGATAAATGGAATTTCTGGCAAAAAGGGCCCAGATCTCACTGCTCACAGCCAGCAGGGTTTTCCAGCCCTCACACCCCCTGTCTGTGCCAGACACGCTCTGGTTTGGGGGGGTTCAGCTGGTTCTGGACTGGCCATGGATAAATTTGGTTTGTTTGGGGTTTTTTTGTGTTTTACCCCAGAGCAGCCCCCTGAGTGTCAGGGCTGCCCTTGCTCCTTGTGTTCCTGAAGTGTTTCATCCTTGCCAGGGAGAGAAATTCTGAAATTCCCACTGGGAATGAATTCTGCCCCTGGGAGCAGCTTCCAAACCCCAAATCCTTCAGAGCCCAGCTGAATTCCCAGTCCCTGCCTCAGCCCCGGGCTGGGGCTGGAGATGAAGGGGGAAGGAGGTGCCAGGCTCCTGCAGCAGCTTTGTTTTCCCTAAGATCCCTGCAGGCAGCAGGAGGGGCGTCCCCTCTCCTCGCTGCCAGGAGCAGCCTGCTCACCCAGCAGGGACAGGAGGGACTCGGGGGTCTCTGCTCTGAGATCTGTGGGTTGGGGTTCCCCCCACTCTGCAGGGGCTGCACTGCCCAGGTGCTGTGGGAGCTCCTCGCTGGGCTCTGCAGAGCTCACGGGCTCTAATTTATTAACTGCAGCTTCCCAAAAGCTCGGGAAAGCTGACACCTGGGCTGAGAGGGGAAGCTGCTCTGTCAGGTTTGCTTCATCGTCCTCAAAGCACACGCAGAGACGTGAAAGCCCTTCTGGCCATAAATCCTCCAGCCTTTAATAAAAAAGGGCGAGAGCTTAAAAAAAAAATTTAAAAAAAAAAACCCCCCGAAACCCCACAAAACCTGATACTACCATAAAAAAAAGAAAAAACTTGGAAGCCTCTGGCTTTCCTTTCGCCCTGATTAAATGCAGATCACAGGAGGTTTTATGGGCTTTGCAGTGCATCTGGTCCCTGGCATCAATCTTGGCGGGCGCTGGCCGGGCTCGTACCTGCGATGATGACGGAGTCGGTGCGAGCGGGGCCGAATTTCAATGTCATCTCGTGCTTGTGTTTATGAACCGCCAGGTGGTCCTCGTTTGTGAACCTCTGAAATGAAACAATTTGCAAAATGGGGAATAAATGCGCTCTGTGTTTTACGGGCCCGTCCTGCGCTGGGTGTGGGGGGAGGAGGAGGAGGGAGCCCACGGCTGGGGGGATCCGGGGCTGGGAGCAGGGGACAGGGATGTGGGACAGGGACAGGGCTGTGGGATCACGGGGGACAGAGGGAAAAGCCTCTGTCAGGGGCTCTGCAGGGTGGGGGGCAAGGATTTTTAAGAATCTGATTTTTAGGTGATGGAGCGAGGCGGCGGCTGCAGCTGATGGAAATGCACGAAAATTCTGAATCCCAAAATTCCCATTCTATGGCTGGCTGAGGAAGAGGGGAATTTGGTTCAACTGGGGCAACTTTTCCTGCGTGGGGTGAGGCAGAGCCACCCCTGCCTGGAGATTCAGCTCCTGAGCTTTTATGGAGCGAGGGAGGGGGAGCATCTCCCCCCACCAAAATCCCACCTGCGGGAGAGCTGCAGGATCGACCCCATCCCTGAGGCAGGGCTTGGGCAGGGTGGAAATGCCACGGGAGGGCTTTGGGGCCGGGAAAGGCAGACAAAGGCAGCAGGGAGGGCTGAGGAGAGGGGGAGCGAGGCAGGGACGGGGTTAAAGCACAGCCCCATAAAGCTCAGGATGGATTGCGTCTCTCCTAATAGACTGCGACAAACGGCCGGGCTCCGCAGCGCTCGGGGCAGGAGCACGCTGCAGCAGAGCAGCAGAGCAGCAGCAGAGCAGCAGCAGTGCATTCCTGCCCCTTCCCCTTCCTGCCCTCCCTCTCCGGGCCATGGCAGCCCAAAGCCACCCGGAGCCACCTGCTCCTGTGGGGCTGCAGGAGCGGGACACCCTCCGGGCCCTTTCCACGCCGTTATTTACGGCCCGGCTGCTGCAGCAAATAAATCTGCTTTTCCCAGCTGGGCACAGCGGGGACAGTCCCGCGGTGGCAGGGGACAGTCCCACGATGGCAGGGGACAATCCCTCGGTGGCAGGGGACAATCCCACAATGCAGGGGACAATCCCACAGTGGCAGGGGACAATCCCACAGTTGCAGGGGACAATCCCACGATGGCAGGGGACAATCCCACAGTGGCAGGGGACAATCCCACGGTGGCAGGGGACAGTCCCGCGGTGGCAGGGGACAGTCCCACAGTGGCAGGGGACAGTCCTGCGGTGGCAGGGGACAGTCCCGCGGTGGCAGGGGACAATCCCACAGTGGCAGGGGACAGTCCCGCGGTGGCAGGGGACAGTCCCACAGTGGCAGGGGACAGTCCTGCGGTGGCAGGGGACAGTCCCGCGGTGGCAGGGGACAATCCCTCGGTGGCAGGGGACAATCCCACAATGCAGGGGACAATCCCACAGTGGCAGGGGACAATCCCACAGTTGCAGGGGACAATCCCACGATGGCAGGGGACAATCCCACAGTGGCAGGGGACAATCCCACGGTGGCAGGGGACAGTCCCACAGTGGCAGGGGACAATCCCCCCCTCAGTAGCAGGGGACAATCCCACAGTTGCAGGACACAGTCCCGCGGTGGCAGGGATAATCCCACAAATGGCAGGGGACAATCCCACAGTGGCAGGGGACAATCCCACGATGGCAGGGGACAATCCCACGATGGCAGGGGACAATCCCACAGTTGCAGGGGACAATCCCACAGTTTCAGGGGACAATCCCCCCCTCGGTGGCAGGGGACACCACGACCTGGGCCCACGCAGCCCCGGCTCCCAGGGCTCAAGGACAGGGGGTCACACAGAGCGTCCTTGGGGGCTCACAAGGTGCTGTGCTGGTGGCTCGTGATTTGGGCTCAAATTCAGGGAAACTGGAGCTGGCGGGAGAAGAGCCAAGAGCTTTGTGCCTGTGGAACTCCAGGAGCAGCCTGAACCCCGTCTCCCCCGGCCCCGCTCCGTAACCAAACCCTAAATAAACCCGAAATAAAACTTCTCGACAGCTCGGCCAAAATCTGCCTGAGCTGGGCTTTCTTCCCTCCCTGCTGCTCTGCTCCTTTTTGAACCCTTTTTGTGCGTGGAGCTTTCCCGGGCCCGGCGACCCCGAACCCTCAGAACAAAGGAGCAGGAGCGAGGCAATTCGGGAATTCGGGAATTCGGGAATTCGGCACACGCGCAGCGCCCCGGGACGCCCCGGCCGAGGGGCCCTGCAGGGCAAGGGACACCCACGGTTTTCCATGGTTTTGGCCCCAAAATTCCCGGGTTGTACGGAATTCGGCTGCCCGTGGTGGGACCCCGCTGGGATGGGGTGAACCGGGGGAATAAACGCGGTTTTTGTGCGGGGTTGGGATGAATATTTAGCAGGCGGGCGGCGTCGGAAATCTGAGCACCTGAGACGGGGGTGGGGGAAAATGAACAAGAAGAAAATTCCCAATTCTGCCGCTCCGCTTTGTGCTAAACAAATGTGATTTTTAGGTCAGGGAGGGAAGAGCGGGAGGTGCAGAGCAGGGTCGTGTCTCTCCCACCAGCCCCAGCCCGGCCTCGCCAACGCCAGGTTTATTTTAATCTTTCATTTTCCTTCATTGCTGGATTTTTTTTTTCCCTAATTTTTTTTTTTCCCGGCACTTTCCGTGCGCCGGGCGCGCGTTACAGCTCTATTTAACATCTTTATGTGGGCTCACAGCTCGGGAGCTCTCTCCTTCCCTGCGCAGAAATGCTCACAGACACAATATATCTTTCTGCACACATTTCCAAACGCCGAAACCCAGAGGCTGAGTCTGGCACTTGGGTTCTAAATCATGTCATTTTACACAGAGAGGGGAAGCAGAGGGGGAGAGGAGGGGGGGAAGAGTAGGGAAAAAAATGGAATGAGTTAAAGCCACAGCGCTGGCTTTAATATTTAATCTCCTTCCATCAGCAGCTGACATACAGCAGGGTTATTTCAGCTGCTATTTTGCGGGTGTCGGAATTAAAAAGAAGATGTTGGCTGTAAAGTCTTTGGGGCGAGGGACAGGAGCAGGGTGAGCGCTGCCAGCCGGCCCTGGGGGTTTCCCGGGCTGCAGCTGCCGCCTGCAGCCCCAGATTTGGTGTTCTGCAGAGCCGGGCCAGGCCGAGCCGGGTGGGACAGAGCAGGGCCCCGGCGCTCGCGCGGTGCCGCGGCTGTGACAGCTCCGCGGTGGATGCACTCGTTCGGAGTGGGCTGTAATGGCCAGCAATGGCACACGGTGCTGCCGGCAATGGCACACGGCAATGGCACACGGCAGTGGCACACGGCAATGGCACACGGTGCTGCCGGCAATGGCACACGGCAATGGCACACAATGCTGCCAGCAATGGCACACGGCAATGGCACACGGCAATGGCACACGGCAATGGCACACGGCAATGGGACACGGCAATGGCACACGGCAATGGCACACGGCACTGGCACACGGCACTGGCACACGGCGCTGCCAGCTGCCGCGGCAGCCTCGCTGGGGGCTTTCTGCAGCAGTTTAACGAGCACGACACGAGGAACAAGCGCTTGCTTGGCTGCTCGGGGCTTTTCCTGCTGTTTGGAGAGCCGGGGTTTGCTGCAGGGGGGTCAGGCGGGACCCCCGGGATGGGGACCTGGGGTATTTAGGGGTATTTAGGGAGGGTTTAACCTCACCCACAGCCCAGCACCGAGCAGCCCCGGCCAGAATTCCCGGGGGAACTCCGGGCTGTGCCGGCGGCAGCACCGACAGGAGGGCCAGGGGGCTGCGGAGCCGCTCACGGCGCAATTAACGGAATTAATTAACGAGCTGTCAGCATCGCGGGGAGGCTGGGCCCTGCTCCGACCGTGACTTGGCACTGGAGCTACCCTGGGGACAGGGCTGGAGCCACAGTGGTCACAGGGCTGGAGTGACCCTGGTGACAGGGCTGGAGCCACAGTGGTCACAGGGCTGGAGTGACCCTGGTGACAGGGCTGGAGCCACCGTGGTGACAGGGCTGGAGTGACCCTGGGGACAGGGCTGGAGTGACCCTGGTGACAGGGCTGGAGCCACCGTGGTCACAGGGCTGGAGTGACCCTGGTGACAGGGCTGGAGCCACCGTGGTGACAGGGCTGGAGTGACCCTGGGGACAGGGCTGGAGTGACCCTGGTGACAGGGCTGGAGCCACAGTGGTCACAGGGCTGGAGTGACCCTGGGGACAGGGCTGGAGCCTCCGTGCCGCGGGGACACTGCCCCGACACACCTGAACAGGAGGGGACACAAAGGAACAGCGGGAGGCTGCACTGCGGTGCGGGAGGGAAACGACGCAGGGCGAGCAGGAGCTGAGCTCAAAGTCACCGCCTTTAAAAGCTGCCAAACCCTTCGGCTTTGGGTTTCCAGGCTGCAGAGACGCTCCCAGCTCATCTCCACCCCCTGCTCGGCGGTGCAGGGTGGCCCGGGCGGGGTCGGGGGGACCCCGGGGGCAGGGGGACCCCGGTGGCTGTCCCGGGTTATTGCTGTGACCCCCGTGGCTGTCCCGGGTGGAGGAGGAGGAGGAGGAGCGGGGAAGGTTTGGAAGGAGCAGATCAGGAAGGAAAACCAGACCGGGAAAGGAGCTGGGAGAGCTCGGGCTCCACGGCGGGGCCGCGTCCCACAGTCCAGGGGAAACCTGGAGGGGAGGAAGAGCCGGGAGAGGTGACGCCCTGCCCTGCCCGGCCCTGCCCTGCCCTGCCCTGCCCTGCCCGGCTCGGCCCGGCCCGGCTCGGCTCGCCTCGGCCCCGCCGGAGCCGCTCCACAGCGGCACCGAATCCCGACCCCCCGAAGGTAAAATTGCAGCGAGATTTAAACCCTGAAATGGTATTTTCGGCTCTGGCGACTGCAGGGACGCTGTGTCCCTGCCTTTCCCTTTAAAATGCTGCTCCCTCCTGCCCCGTGATTGATTCCGGGCCCTTCCTTGTGTGAAAAAAAAAAAAGAGGAATAAGAATAATAATCAAACTGGGCAGCGCCAGGGTGAGGAATCCCCGGCCCAGCAGCCCCACGGAACATTGTGCAAAGCACCAAAACTGAGAATGTTTTTCCCCCTTCTCCCTTGTTTGCTGAGGTAAT